TAATATTGGGCCAATAACAGTTCCAATCCAAGTTAGGCCTTGCTGTATAATTTTGTATGAAAGAAAATATACTCTCCATATGCGCTAAAATTATGTTATTATTATGTTTTTGGTAGTCCGCTAAATTTATACATTTTCCATTTCTAGCTAGTAAACAACTTTATTCAACTGCATTTTGCTACTTTAATCATCACTGTCTCACCAATTCTTTAATAACTTTCCCAAAATCCTTATGATTTGTGGCAAGATGACTTGTTAGCATCCGTACATACACGACTCACCCTATAATTTTTCTATCCATAACTATTTTCACAATATCTCGAGTGCCATTTATTCTCAGAATACTCCAAAGGCCAACAAAATCTACATAATTAATCAAAAATAAGAGGTAAGTAATATACGAACGAATAACGCACCATAAGTTTACATAACATGCGGAAAAATAGGAATGGAAATTTTATTTATTTCCTTCCAGAAAATAATCAAAATTAATCTCGTAATATATAGATTGCTAATCATACATCACAAATAAAGGGAAAAAAAACCCTAGATCAATTAGCCAACTAGATCTATGTATAGACCAAACATATGATGCACATAAACCTTGTATCTTGAAACTCTTTACTATTTTCAGAAGAATCGCAATCCTCCGCTGAAAACGATCAAGATGACGTTGGTAAAAATTATAGGTTGTAGATGAAAAATATACAAGAAGAGAATATGATGACAGTACAAACCCTAAATCGAATCAAGTTATCCCAGCGGTTAGCACAAGCCCAATTCAGCCCAGGCTTTGATAATAGATAAATGCTTCTGGTCTAAGCTAAACTATTTATAAGTTACTTTGACCAAGCTCATAAACCATATAATATTGGGCCAATAACAGTTCCAATCCTAGTTAGGCCTTGCTGTATAATTTTGTATGAAAGAAAATATACTCTCCATGTGCGCTAAAATTATGTTATTATTATGGTTTTGGTAGTCCGCTAAATTTATACATTTTCCATTTCTAGCTAGTAAACAACTTTATTCAACTGCATTTTGCTACTTTAATCATCACTGTCTCACCAATTCTTTAATAACTTTCCCAAAATCCTTATGATTTGTGGCAAGATGACTTGTTAGCATCCGTACATACACGACTCACCCTATAATTTTTCTATCCATAACTATTTTCACAATATCTCGAGTGCCATTTATTCTCAGAATACTCCAAAGGCCAACAAAATCTACATAATTAATCAAAAATAAGAGGTAAGTAATATACGAACGAATAACGCACCATAAGTTTACATAACATGCGGAAAAATAGGAATGGAAATTTTATTTATTTCCTTCCAGAAAATAATCAAAATTAATCTCGTAATATATAGATTGCTAATCATACATCACAAATAACGGGAAAAAAAACCCTAGATCAATTAGCCAACTAGATCTATGTATAGACCAAACATATGATGCACATAAACCTTGTATCTTGAAACTCTTTACTATTTTCAGAAGAATCGCAATCCTCCGCTGAAAACGATCAAGATGACGTTGGTAAAAATTATAGGTTGTAGATGACAAATATACAAGAAGAGAATATGATGACAGTACAAACCCTAAATCGAATCAAGTTATCCCAGCGGTTAGCACAAGCCCAATTCAGCCCAGGCGCTAAAATTATGTTATTATTATGTTTTTGGTAGTCCGCTAAATTTATACATTTTCCATTTCTAGCTAGTAAACAACTTTATTCAACTGCATTTTGCTACTTTAATCATCACTTTCTCACCAATTCTTTAATAACTTTCCCAAAATCCTTATGATTTGTGGCAAGATGACTTGTTAGCATCCGTACATACACGACTCACCCTATAATTTTTCTATCCATAACTATCTTCATAATATCTAGAGTGCCATTTATCCTCAGAATACTCCAAAGGCCAACAAAATCTACATAATTAATCAAAAATAAGAGGTAAGTAATATACGAACAAATAACGCACGATAAGTTTTACATAACATGCGGAAAAATAGGAATGGAAATTTTATTTATTTCCTTCCAGGAAATAATCAAAATTAATCTCGTAATATATAGACTGCTAATCATACATCACAAATAACTGGAAAAAAAACCCTAGATCAATTAGCCAACTAGATCTATGTATAGACCAAACATATGATGCACATAAACCTTGTATCTTGAAACTCTTTACTATTTTCAGAAGAATCGCAATCCTCCGCTGAAAACGATCAAGATGACGTTGGTAAAAATTATAGGTTGCAGATGACAAATATACAAGAAGAGAATATGATGACAGTACAAACCCTAAATCAAATCAAGTTATCCCAGCAGTTAGCACAAGCCCAATTCAACCCAGGCTTTGATAATAGAGAAATGCTTCTGGTCTAAGCTAAACTATTTATAAGTTACTTTGACCAAGCTCATAAACCATATAATATTGGGCCAATAACAGTTCCAATCCAAGTTAGGCCTTGCTGTATAATTTTGTATGAAAGAAAATATACTCTCCCTGTGCGCTAAAATTATGTTACTATTATGTTTTCGGTATTCCGCTAAATTTATACATTTTTCATTTGTAGCTAATAAACAACTTTATTCACTCACATTTTTAGTACCCATACTTTAACAAATAATAACTATTTTTCACAACATTTGGCTACTTACAACATCATTTTTTTACAAATTATTTAATAACTTTCCCATAATCCTTATGATTGGTGGCAAGATGACTTTGTCCGCATCCGTATAGACACGACTCACTCAATAATTTTTTTTTATCCAAAACTATTTTTCCTAATATCTAGAGTGCCATTTATCCTCATAATACTCCATAGACCAACAAAATCTACATAATTAACCAACTATAAGAGGTAAGTAAGATACGAACGAATAGCGCATGATAAGTTCTACATAACATGCGGAAAAATAGGAATGGAAATTTTATTTATTTCCTTTCAGGAAATAATCGAAATGAATCTTGTAATATATAGGTGGCTAATCATATATCACAAGGAAAGGAAAAAAAACGTAGTTTAATTATCCAACTAGATCTATGTATAGACCAAACATATGATGCACATAAACCTTGTATCTTGAAACTCTTTACTATTTTCAGAATAATCGCAATCCTTCGCTTAAAACGATCAAGTTGACGTTGGTCAAAATGATAGGTTGTGGATGACAAATATACAAGAAGAGAATATGATGACAGTACAAACCCTAATTCGAATCAAGTTATCTCAGCGGTTAGCACAAGCCCAATTCTGCCCGGGCTTTGATAAAAGAGAAATGGTTCTGGGTTAAGCTAAACTATTTATAAGTTACTTTGACCAAGCTCATAAAAAATATAATGTTGGGCCAATAACAGCTCCAATCCAAGTTGGTCCATGTTGTATAATTTTGTATGAAAGAAAATATACTCTCCTTGTCCGCTAAAATTATATTACTATTATGCTCTTTGTAGTCCGCTAAATTTATACATTTTCCATTTCTAGCTAGTAAATAACTTTATTCACTCACAATTTTACTACTCATACTCTAACAAAAAATAACTAATTTTTCAAACTATTTTCACCCATCTTTTCACATTCCAAAACTATTTTCACAATATCTACAATGCCATTTATCCTCAGGAATACTTGGTAGGCCAATACAATCTATATGCTTAACCAATGTAGGTCATATAATGAACGAAGAGCGCACAATAAGCTGTATTATAAATTTGGGAATATATAGAAATTTTGATTTATTGCCTAATAAGTATTATAAAGAAAAAACAAAAGAGCCAAGTTTTAGAATAACGAACATAATGGTAAATAAAACAAACAACATCAATTATAACTACATGCTTTACCTAATTGCTTTGTGTGTTTATCATATAAGAACTCTTTGACATATCTATCATGAGTATTAACCATAATAATTGCAAGAATAACATATCCATCATGAGAATAAAGCATAATTGCAATCGATTTCAAATAACATATCGATCATAAGTACAAATATAAGCATACATTTTCAGCACACTTGCAAAAAAAAAAAAAAAAAAAAAAAAAAAAAAAAAAAAACAGCACACTTGCAAAAAAAAAAACCAAAAAAAAAAAACACAGAAAATGCTATATGTATAATCTCCCCTAAGTTAAACCCTCGCGGACAACTTCTGCACGATAATAGATCCCCACTGCCATAGCATATGAAGCAAATAGTGTCACATTCTTTTTGAACCACTCCTTGACTTTTGATATTTTCAATGCATAGATCATGGAGGGATACATTGTTTTTGGTATATTCCCACGAACCTGAATGTTCAAGTAGACCAGAGTTGAGAAAGAGATAAATTGAATACTATATAAAAAAATAAGTGATTCAATACTAAATTCAAGATGGACAAAAGAAGTAAATTTTACAAGAAAGCAGATGGCCAAAAAATACTCATGGCTTTTTCGGGAGACTAAACCCCGTATGATCCTCGAAGCGCGAGTGTGTAACCTATTCATATATGAATTTTAACAAATATCAGAGGCAATTGCTTGTAGTTAGAGAAGTAAGCGATTCTAACAATATTAATTTTAATTGAAACAAATACAACTAAATTACAAAATCGGGACAAAATAACGAAGTTAATATACCTTTCCATTGACAATATACCACACTTGCATGCCATTAGGAACTACAAGTTTTTATATTTATGTTTTCATAATTTTATCATAAAATTTTATAAATTATATTTAATAATTTTAAGTTTTTAGTATAATTGAAATTTTATATTTTTAAATTTTGCATTTAAATTATAATTTCAAATTATAATTTAAAGTATAACATATAAAATAAAAATAAAAATAAAAATAAAATTATATTTTTAAATTTTAATTAAAATATAAAATATAACATAATTATTTTATATGATATTAAAGTATTAATAATAATTGTTATTATTGTTGTTGTGTTATTAGAGATAAAACAATAATTTTAACATATAAATTACTGCCGGTGAATAAAGAACATTTCATCTGCAAAAGATATTTTTGCTTTTGTACAGAAGTTAATACAAACATGTATAAGAAACAAAAGTCAATCCAAATGAGGCCATAATATATAATTTAGACACATAATTATCATTCGGGTTTTGGTTCTTCATTTCTCTGTGCTTCTATCATCTTGGATATCATCAAATTACTTTACACAATTTCCCCAATATAACGTGGGCTCCGAGCTTCTTCAGGACTGGGTAATTGATTTATGCAGAACTGTAGTATTTTCCAACATCAATAACTTTTGATGGTTATTCAAGTATTTCTCTAACTGCAAAACAACAACAAAAACTGTTCAATTAAAATGACACAATAGAGATCACGACAACAGAGGTTTGAACAATCCCTACCTGTTCCGGAGTAACTACTTCGAACCCATATCTATCCATCCACATGGATTTAGCATCACTAATAGCTGGAAGAAGAATCCTTTCCACATTTAACTTCGATAAAAGATGCTCGATGCAAGAAAAGAGCACCGAGCAGTATCCCTACAACAAAAAAATGGTTTTCTGATTAAATACCAAGGAATTGAGAAAAAAATCCTCTTAGCTTCTGAATATCAAAATTGCACCTTATTCTTCTCCTCATCCTTGGTTGCAATCAGCGGAAGCTCTGCAATGTCCTCTCCAAATATCCGAATTATTCCGGCGCAAACAATATTTGATCTATAAAGTTATAAAAATAGTAAATTAAATTTATTAAAGAAAAATAAATTCAATAATAGTGTTGAGTATCTTCTCTTACTTGACCGTCAATACAATGCAGTGCATCCCAAAGAAATCGAGGTAATCGACACTCTTCCTGCAGTCAACACCAAATAAAACAAGATTCAAATCAACGAAGATGGAAAAAGATAGTACTACTTGTTGGTTTACTCCCTCGAATATAAATAAATAAATGATGCGTATCCCTACAAAGTTAAGCATTTAAGTGAGATTGCCATTTAACATCACTTAACACCATGCATTACCCGTAAACCATTTCTGGAACAAGATCAATTCCCTTGCCAATAAGTTTTATTTCACCGAATTGCTCCTGAAGAAAATATGGGAGATGGAAATTACTTTAGAATTCCATCAAAATTTAGCACAAATATCGATCTAAATCAGCACATCGACAACTGATACTCACATGTAGTAGCGTAACAACATTGGAAAGCCTTTCTTTCGCTTTTCCAGAACAATTGCTTCCGGAAAGAAGACTCCATTTTACAGCCACCTTTCCTTTCTGTTCTGATTTCCTCCTCAGAATGTCTAAACTGGCGGGAGGAAGCTTTTGAGCTTTGTCCCCAGCTAAGTTCTCAAGTTTTGAGTGAAGACCACTGCAACTCATACAACAGAACCATTTGTCTTTTGGAAATTCCTGCAGTTTGTTTGTTACAATAAATCAACAAATTGGCGCAAACAGATTAAATTCGTAACAATCATGTACAAGCTTTTTAGTTGAGGACCTTAAGATCATCATTCCTGTCCTTTCTCAGACAACCGACATGGAATTCTTTCTCACACTGCACACACCAGATTCATGGTTATTTTGATGTTTGACAGAGAACTAGAAAAGAAAATCCTGAATACTTCTTTACCTGCTCGCAAATAATAACTGTCAGGTCTGTGAATCCTTTCTTGACGAAATCATGCCCCCTGTAGAAAGCAATGCTCGTACATTATAATTGTATCAGTCGAACAACAAGTTGTTTCCATGTAATTGATTTCTAAACACATACAAACAAATGAAAAGGCAAAGCAGATACACAACCTGCAAATGGCACATGAATAAAGCTCATCCTCACACACTTCCTTGCTACTACCGCTCTCCAGTGTTTTTCCTTCTTTATTACTGGTGGCAAGATATTTTTGAGTAGCAACTGTATAGACACGACTCACCCCATCTTTTCGCATTCCAAAACTATTTTCACAATATCTACAATGCCATTTATCCTCGGGAATACTCGGTAGTTCAACACAATCTACATGATTAAGCAACGACAAACTGTAAGTCATATAATGATCGAAGAGCACACGATAAGGTGTATATAAAATGAACAATAATAACAATATGCTTTACATAATTGCTTTGTGTGTTTGTTATATAAGAATTCTTTGGCATATGTATCATGAGTATAAAGCATAATAATTTCAAGAAATTCCAAATAACATATGTATCAAGATAATAACGCATAATTGCAATCGATTTCAAATAACATATCTATCATGAGTATAAACATAATTATACTTGCAAGGAATTGCACAGTTTCAGCACCCATGGTAAAACAAAACAAAAAACCAAAAAAAAAAACAAAAATTGCTATATGAATACTCCATGTACTGAACATCTGATATATTTTTCTCACCTAAGTGAAACCCTCGAGGACAACTTTTGCAGGATAATAGATCTCCACCGCCATGGCATATGCAACAAATAGTATCACATTCTTTCTGAACCGTTCCTTGAGTTTTCATATATTCAACGCATATATCATGGAGGGATACATTTTCTTTGGTATATATTCCCATAAACCTACATGTTCAAGTAAACCGCAGTTGAAAGAGATAAATTTAATGCTAAACCAATAGTTTAAAGGCATATACTATGATTGCCATCTTAGCTACCAACATTTATAAGTAATATAGCAAGATAGGTAGAAGAAGTAAGATATTAAACCAGATGGCGAAAAGATACTCACGCCTTTTTCCGGAGACTAAAACCGGCATGCTCCTCGAATCGTGAGTGCGTAACCTATTCATATATGAAATTTTACAAATATCAGAGGCAATTGCTTGTAGTTATGGTAGTAAGTGAAACATTAGTAATTTTAATCGAAGCAAATACCACCAAATTACAACAACTGCACAAAATCCCACCATCTTGTGTTGAGCCTTCCAGGAATTTCTGCCAAAAAATTAAGATATAGTGAAATATTAACAACCATTAAATAAATTAAATTTATTTAAAAAAATATCTAATAATTATTAGAATGAAAAAAGAAGTTAGAAAATATACCCTCCTATTGACGATATACCACACTTGCGTGCCATTAGGAACTATAGCTTCTGTTGCAAGTAATGACTTATGCATCCCCAAATTTCTACAGAGGAATTGACAGGAAACAATATTTGGGTACAAACAACTATCATAAATTGGCTGTTCATTTTATGTATATAATGCACAATAGATAATACAAACATGCATAACTCAAGATATATTTTGAAAATGTTATGAAAAGATTAAAAGGTTGAATAAAGAACAAGTATTTGATGTGATTTAAATATAAGTTGGATGTGATAAATTTGGGATAGAAGATATATTTTTATGTCATATTTTAAATAAATAAAGAAAATATGTATTAGATATGATTTTTTATTTTTATTTTTAGGGATAAAAAATTGATGAATAGTGTGATAACAAAGTAACAAATATAAATAAGTAAAGTCTTATACTTTCTTGTTAGCTTCCCTTCTTTTGGTTGAGATGAAGAGCCTAGTACTGCTCCAGTCCCACTACCACTTGGCCGACAGCCAGAGGAATCTGTCGAAGATGAAGACCTAAAATGGTCGCAACAAAGGGTATAATAAATAAGTGGATGGCTTGAGAAGATAAATCAATTTTCTTTTTAGTTTCTTGTGAACTCCATAGCTCGAATTAAGCATTTCTTCATGAATTTTAACATAGCCACTCTTTTGGTATCATTATACCTGTCTTGTAGCATATGAGACTTTGCATTCATTGCCATATCACTCTGTATGAACAAAAAACACAATAAAAGACCATATCAATAATAAATAACATTAGGTAACATCAAAACTCATATTAATCACATATCCATCGAAAAGAAAAAAAATGATGAATTTTTTTAACCGAATATAACTAACCAGGCAAATAAAAAATTTAAGTTATTAATGTAGAACCATGTATTATACATATTTAGCATATATCACACCCACAATAAGTATTAGATTAAAGTAGTTAGAAAATGCTTGCATCTGAAATAGTTGATGTTTGAAAGCACACGGGTCGTAGAAACTCTATGTATTTTTAAGCTATCACCAATCATTGTAAAGGGATTACAACCTGCTACAGTTTCTAAGTAACAATATAGGAAAAAAGTATCCAGACTAAGACTTCTAAAAGCTTAGACAATTAATTTGCGTTCTAGATTATAGAAATTGCTCTTAACTATTAACAAAACTAAATAAATACTCCGTCTATTAACTATTTTGCTCCCTTTTCTTTTTCTTATCCCCAAAAATTGTACACTTTCTATTTATTGGCTTTAATCTAGGTGTGAGACTAAGTCACAGTTACATCGAGTCTTATGCAAAAAATTTTTCTTTAGTCAAAAGTTTTGTTGAGTTAGTTAGACTCTATTTCTGGATTTTTAGTTCCCATTTTGTAGCACTAAAAAATTATCCGGTTTTCTGGCTATCTATAAATAATTGTAGTCCGTGCCTCTATAAATACTTGTAGTCCGTGCCTCATCATTTCAGTTCAACCAATTCCAGTCATAATAAAACACAATTATTTCGTCCATCTTTGATCCTCATGTCCATAGGTACTGTATTGTTTCTATAGATATTAAAACCTAAAGCTCCATATCACATATCATATTTCCAACTCACATATCACAAATCTCCTTCAACTAAAGACAACAACGCAGAAGCCAAAAACCAGAGATGGAAGAGCAGAGGGGGAAGTTACTTCATTTCATTTTAATGCAAAATGATATATACAAAAACACATATACAACCCTCTAGCTTCTCCAAGACGCTTTCCCAAACTAAACAATAGGCACACATTCTACTTTCCACATCATCAACATATTAATATTTAAATACTAAACACAAAAGGACAAATAAGAGTTTTTTTTTTTTATAAAATCTCAAATATTAGCATTCTCCTCCTTTGAGATTTTGCTAAAAACTCCCATCTCATATCCTTAAGCTTCTCAAACCTGTTGCGTTGGAGTCCCTTTGTCATCATATCAGCCAATTGATCTTCAAATCGACAATAAACCACACTCTTCACCATTAGCTTCAACTTCATGAATTGAATGAAACTTAACACAAATGTGCTTAGTTCTACCATGAAAAACAGGATTCTTTGACATAGTAATGGCTGATTTGTTATCTACAAACAGCTTGACAACTCCTCCTTGCTCCATGCCCAACTCTTTCAATATTTTAGTTAACCATCTCATATGATTTGTAGCATTGGCTTCCGCTATATACTCTGATTCAGCTGAGGATTAGGCAACCACATCCTGCTTTATCGAACTCCAAGTAAATACTCCAGAACCAAAAGTGAAAACATAACCTGATGTACTTTTCAGGTCATCTACACTCTCTGCCCAATATGAATCGGAAAATCCCATCAATTGTTGTCCCTGATCAGATGCATAGAAAATTCCATAATCAACCGTTCCTTTTAGATATCTTAGAACTCTCTTTGCAACACTCAAATGCACTTGTCTAGGTGAATGCATAAACCTTGACAACAACCTTGTAGAATACATGAAATCGGGTCTAGTGTTGTCAAGTACATTAACCTTCCCACTAGACTGCGGTATATAGACGCATTGACCATATCACCTCCATCATCCTTTGAAAGTTTCTCATTAACAACAAGAGGGGTATCAACTGGTTTGCTCCTCCACATCTAAAACCGCTTCAACAAATCTGTAGCATGTTTCTTTTGGCTAATGAAAATTTCATATTTCAATTTCAGAACTTCCATTCCAAGAAAATAATTCAATTCACCCAAATCAGACATCTCAAATGCCCTTTTCATTTCTTTCTTGAATTCAGCCACTTGTATTTCATCACTGCCGGTTACCAACAAATCATCAACGTAAATCGATACAATGAGAATATTATCTTGTTTTTCTTTCTTAATATACAAAGTAGCATCATTATGGCTTTTGAGAAATCCCCATTGTTGCAAGAATTCATCAACCTTCTTGTACCAAGCTCTTGGAGCTTGTTTTAATCCGTACAAAGCTTTGTTCAATTTAAGAACAAGATCTTCATTATCTGTAACTTTGAATCCTTGTGGTTGTTCAACAGAAATTTTTTCTTGCAATTCGCCCATTAAGAAATGCAGATTTGACATCCAAATGAAACAATTCCCATCCATCTTTTGCAGCCAAAGCAATAAGTAATCGAATGGTATCAAATCTTGCCACAGGGGGCAAAAGTCTCTCCATAATCAATTCCAGTTTCTTATGCAAATCCTTTTAACAACCAGTCTTGCTTTCAATTCCTTGCTTTTGGTTTAGTAACCAATTCCCAAGTTTCATTTTTTATAATCATATTAATCTCATTTTTCATTGCTTGAACCCAATCTTCATTCTTCACAGCTTCTTCAAAGCTTGTAGGCTCAATTGCAAAGTTGCATTTCTCGTATATCACTTGCAAGCTTTTCATTTTTCGGCTTTCATTTTCATCTAAATCATCATCAGTGATTTCAAATGTAGAACTAGTAATATCAACATTTGATGTGTTCTCTCCAAGTTCCTTCAGTCTTTCTATCTGTTGCAACTCCCAATTCCAATAGCTTTCAGCAACATCTCGACTGATTTTCCCTATCTTTGTCTTCAAATCATAAACCCCGGTAACCTTTGGTTCTTAAAGCATAAGTAAGAAAAATTTCAGGCTGTGATTTCTGCTCCAATTTGCTTCTTTTAGCAGCTGGAACATGCACATAACACATGCATCCAATAACTTTTAAATGCTTTGCAGATGGTTTTCTTCCACTCCAACTCTCAATTGTAGTATCTCTTAGTGAAGAAGTATAGCATCTATTTTGAAGGTAGACAGCAGTAGAGGCAGCCTCTGCCCAAAACTTATTCGGAAACTTCAACTCAAGTAGCATGTATCTCACCATTTCAAAAATAGTTTGATTTCTCCTCTCCACTACTCCATTCTATTTAGGAGAATATGGTGTTGTGAGCTTATGATCAATGCCATTATCATGGAAAAAAAATGTTGAAAGCGCTTGAATTATACTACGTCCCATTATCGGTTTAAATGCCTAACAACTGACAGCCATTTCGATTTTCAAGCATCACTTTAAATCTTTTGAACACTTCAAACACTTGGGATTTTTGCTTCATGAAGTATATCTAAGTCATTCTTGCAAGTCATCTATGAACAACACAAAATATTGATTTCCATTGCATGATTCATTTTTCATAGGACAACAAACATCTGAGTGAACAAGTTGTAGTTTCCTTTCAGCTTTCCATGCTCCTGACTTGGGTATCTTGCTTCCATGTTGCTTTCCAAGTTGGCAAACACTGCAAACATAATTCGGATTAGAGATTAATGGCATGTCTCTAACCAAATTATTTTTAACCATATGAACAGGAGCTTCATGATGATGATGTCCATATCTTCTATGCCAGAATCTTGACACATCAACCTTAGAAATATTAGTCATTTCAACTTCAGTGTGCATATAGAGTGGAAAACTCTAGTCAACCATTGGAAGTTTAACAAACGGAACCTTGTGCATATCATAAATAAAAACAACTTTCATGCTTGAAAAACAATGCATATCCATTATGTAGCAATTGACCAACAGTGAGTAAGTTGTGTGCTAGTTCTTGAATATAGAGAATATTTTTCATCAGCATAGTACCTTTTTTTTTCTTCACCTCTATGTCTCATTTTCCTTTGGCTTGTAACATCTCACCATTACAAATCTTCACTTTGGTCTTTATAGATCTATCAAGTTTAACAAATAAGCGCTAATCTCTTGACATGTGTGAGGTACACCCACTATCAATAAACCAAATATATTTGTTTGATTTACTGACATTATGAGTGACCATAAAAAGGTTAGCTTCTCCTTCATCTTCCCCCTCTTCCACAATATTAGCATGTTGAGCAGGCTGTGGTGGATTTAGCCGTTGTTGTTGCTTTTGTTGTTGTTGCTTAGCTTTACAACTTCTTTCCACATGCCCATGCTTCTTACAAAACCAACCCTGAATTGCTATTTTCCCTTTAAACCAACAATCTTTCTCAAGATGATTTGTTCTTGCACAATACCTACAAGAAGGATATTGGCCTCTTTTATCAGCCCCCCTTGGACTTTCTTTTTCCTTACTTACATTTGATTTCAGCTCGGTATGCTTCTCCAGTGTTTCTTATCCTTCTTCCACTTTTGCTTAACTTGGAAAGCCCCTTCACTCGTGTCCTCATCTCGCAAACTTTCCCTTTGCTCTAGAGCTTGTAATTTGCTAACAAGTTCAGCCACCGATAGAGTTTTCAAATCACATGTCTCTTCAATAACATCCACTTTAGCTTCAAATCGTGATGGCAAACTTATTAGCATCTTCTCAACCAGCTTTTGATCACTAACATCTTCTCCCAAAATCCTCATTCTATTTACAAGATCAACAAGCTTGGAAGAGTATTCTTTAACAGATTCACTCTTTCATTTTTAACAACTCAAGTTTCCTACTGAGAGTTAAAACTTTCACAGATTTTACTCTTTCATTCCTTTCAAACTCATTCTTCATTTTGTCCCAAGCTTCTTTAGGACTTGCAAGTCATTATCCTTGTGAACACTGACTCTGTCACAGCTGAATAGATGCATGATAAAGCCTTTGGTTTCTTGCCTTCTCTTCTTCGTGAAACTTCATTTGAGCTATGGTTAGATCTTGTCTCAGTGGAACAGGCTCTCTTTCATTTTCAAAAACATCCCATAAACTTAAGCCTCTAAATATGTCTTCATCTTTATAGCCCATATAAAATAATTTTCTCCATCAAATATAGGAGGACCCGTACCTGAAGGATTTGCTGCAGCCATCTCTCTTCAAACCCCAATTCTTGAAATCAACTCGTAGGTCCCTTATAGAAGAATGCTCTGATACCACTGTAGATATTAAAACCTAAAGCTCCATATCTCATACCATATTTCCAACTCCCATATCACAAATCTCCTTCAACCATGGAAGAGCAGAGGGGGAAGTTACTTCATTTCATTTCAAGGCAAAATGATATATACAAAAACACATATACATCCCTCTAGCTTCTCCAAGAAGCTTTCCCAAACTAAATACTAGCCAGACATTCTGCTTTCTACATCATCAACACATTGATATTTAAATACTAAACACAAAAGGACAAGTAAGAGTTTTTTTTTTTTTTTATAAAATCTCAAATATTAACAGTTTCTTCTACTTCCTTTTTTTACTGACCTTTTTGTCTAAGTGTTTGTTTGGGGTTTGGATTTCGGATGGGGATTTGAATTATAAAAATTTGAATTTGACTAGGTGTATGATGTGATATAAATATGCATTGATGTGATATTTTGAATGTACAATTAATTTTTATTATAATATAAAAAATGAAAAATAGGTGTTTGATTTAATATTTTTTGGGGGAGAAATTTGTGTGAATAGTATAAATCCACACAAATCCTTCAAACAAACACACTTAAATGCCCTTACCACACACACGGAACTATATTCCTACAAACAAGTTGGGCATATTCGATCGAGTAACATGATGCTTATGGTAGAAGCATTATCCAGATCCTAGGTTGTGAGTGCACGTTCGGGGGATATAATAATTTTTTATTGTCAATCTCGTACTAACACCATTACTAGAGAATAATTCTTACACACCTTTTAATTTATACTCATCCATATTACGCTTACATAGTAAAATGACAAAACTACTTCTACACTAACTTTATTAAAAAATTTCTCAATTCATTAACTCACTTATACACTTGTCAAAATACCTTTACTTTATATCACAATGAACCAATATGATATTATATTTATTAAAACTTGTGTCAAATTCAAATGAGCATAAATTTAATGGAGGAAGAGAGTAATTTATTGTCACTTTTAATAGAAGAGTGGAAAGGTACATATTCACATTTCGCATACCTCTAGAAAGTACTTTATTTATTTATTTATTTTTATTTTACCTCTAGAAAGTACTTTTGGATGAAGAATGATGCATATAAGTCAATTTGCAATATGGTGCATGCCATTTTTACTTTTTCTATTTTTAACTTTACTTTTTAATGGAGGAAGGTTTGGAACTAGAAAAATTCAGTAAAATCATGAATTGAGGAATATGCCAATTTACATAGGAAGAATAAGGAGTAAATTAAAACAAAAGTGATAAACAATAAATGTAAAGAGATTAGAGCATGAAAAGAAAGTGCAAGACAACCGGAATACTCTCGTTTTGCATCATCTAAAAATCTGCCAAAAGTGTAATGCCAATAAGCAGCAATGTTCTCATCATCCAACAAAGCACTACCTTCCCAAGAAAACCACACTTTTTTTTGAAGAATCATTAACTATATTTGGCATATTATAGTTTCTTTGATCTCTTGAAAAACAATGGAATGTTTGAAACCATATATCTTCCATGAGTCAATCTACTTTATCGGGCTTCTAGATGTGACGTTTGATTTTGTGCAAGGGCCAAACATTAAACAACACATTTTCCTTTAAAATTATGAATATGCTATTAACAATTAATCAAAAAAAATTCTACAAGTGACACTTAAACTGACCTCAAATATAAAAATAAAACGTATTTGCCATTAGCATGCCTATTCTAAGGACCACGCCATTTAATACAAATATATGCTTTCAAAGTGGTACATCCATTCAAAAATTTTATAAATATGTCAATACCATAACATAAAAAAATAAGTTCAAAATCTCCATTCACCAAATAAGATGCAAAAAAGAAAACAACACAATAAGAAATGCATGTAATATCTAGTTAGGTCTATGTAAAAAGCAAACATGTGATTCACATAGCACCTGGTATATAGAAACTCTTGGCTATTTTTCAAAGAATGACACACCACTAATGAAAGAGTCCTAATGAATCCAATAACAATGACAAAGTATAGATCACTAATCATACAAATGAGAAAAGGAAAATGAAAATGCAAACCTTAGATAAAAATACCCAATTAGATCTATGTACATTAAAAAAATTGTGTTACGCATGGCAACAACTATCGTGAAAATCTTTGCTATATTTCAAGAAATCACACAATTGGATTCGGAACAAATGATAGATTTTAGATTGTTAATCAAAAAAAACTAATTAAAGAAAAAATACTATGCAAAACCTAGAAAAAATACCCTATTAGATCCATGTACATATGAAACATCTGGTGCATCTAACAGTTTGTATCCTCGAAATCTCGGGTACTTTTCGAAGAATCTCACACTTCCGGTGAAGGGATAAAAAAGAAGCTTGTATTCAAGATAGATTGTAGCTAGATTGCTAATCATAAAAAAAAAAAAAAAAAAAAACCCTAGATCAAATAGCCAACAATAAAAATACCCAATTAGATCCATGTACATATGAAACATCTGGTGCATCTAACAGTTGGTATCCTTAAAATATCGGCAACTTTTCAATAAATCTCACACTTCCGGTGCAAGGATAAAAAAAAAAAAAAAAAAAAAAAAAAAAAAAAAAAACTTGTATTATAGATAGATTGTAGCTAGATTGCTAATCATAGATTGCAAGTAAAGGAAAAAAAAAAACCCTAGATTAAATAGCCAACAAGATCTATGTATAGACCAAACATGTGATGCACTTAAACCTGGTATCTTGAAACTCTTTACTATATTCCGATGAATTGCAATCCTCCGCTGAAAACGATCGAGATGGCACTTGTAACAATGAAAGGTTCTAGATGAATATTCATACAAGAAGGGAATATGATGGCAATACAAACTTAAATCGAATAGGGTTATCCCGGCAGTTAGCCCAAGCCCAATTCAGCCCGGGCTTCGCTATGGTCCTGGGTTAAGCCAAACTACTAATAACTTACTATGACCAAGCCCATAATCTAAATAATGTTTGGCAAGTACCAATTTCAATCCCAAGTTGGGAGCGCTGTATAATTTTGTATGAAAGAAAATATACTATTATTTTTTTGGTAGTCAGTTAAAGTTATACTTTTTCTACTTCTAGCTAGTAAACAACTTTATTCACTCACAATCTTGTTATCCATACTTTAACAAAAAATAAAAAAATTTCCAGTACATTGCGCTGCTTATATCATCACTTTTTTTACCAATTCTTTAATAAATTTCCCATAATAGTCCATATCTATATTTTACCTACTCCAATTTAATATCAACGTACTATTATTTTGATATTTCCGTATCCAAGAAAACTTATATAAGTGATAAACAATAAATGTAAAGAGACTAGAGCATGAAAACAAAGTGCAAGACAACCGGAATACTCTCGTTTTGCATCATCTAAAAATCTGCTAAAAGTGTAATGCCAATAAGCAGCAATGTTCTCATCATCCAACAAAGCACTACCTTCCCAAGAAAACCACACTTTTTTTTTTAAGAATCATTAACTATATTTGGCATATTACAGTTTCTTTGATCTCTTGAAAAACAATGAAATGTTAGAAACCATATTTCTTCCATGAGTCAATCTACTTTATCGGCCTTCTAGATGTGACATTGGATTTTGTGCAAGGGCCAAACATTAAACACACAGTCCTTTTAAATTATGAAACCGCTACTAACAATTAATCAAAAAAAATCTACAAGTGGCACTTAAATGGACCTCAAATATAAAAATGAAGCGTATTTGCCATTAGCATGCCTATTCTAAGGACCACACCATTTAATACAAATATTTGATTTGAAAGTGGTACATTCATTCAAAAAAAATTATAAATATGTCAATACCATAACATAAAAAAATAAATTCAAAATCTCCAATCACCAAATAAGATGCAAAAAAGAGAACAACACAATAAGAAATGCATCTAATATCTAGTTAGATCTATGTAAAAAGCAAACATGTGATTCACATAGCACCTGGTATTTAGAAAATCTTGGCTATTATTCAAAGAATGACACACCACTAACGAAAGAGTCCTAATGAATCCAATAACAATGACAAAGTATATATCACTAATCATACAAATGAGAAAAGGAAAATGAAAATGCAAACCTTAGATAAAAAACCCAATTAGATCTATGTACATATAAAAAATTGTGTTACGCATGGCAACAACTATCGTGAAAATCTTTGCTATATTTCAAGAAATTACCCAAATGGATTTGGAAAAAATGATAGATTTTAGATCGTTAATCATAAAAACCTAATTAAAGAAAAATTACTATGCAAAACCTAGAAAAAAAAAATGCCCAATTAGATCCATGTACATATGAAACATCTGGTGCGTCTAACAGTTCATATCCTCGAAATCTCGGGTACTTTTCAATGAATCTCACACTTCCGGTAAGGATAAAAAGAAAATGCTTGTATTATAGATAGATTGTAGCAAGATTGCTAATCATAGATTGCAAGTAAAGGAAAAAAACCCTAGATTAAATAGCCAACAAGATCTATGTATAGACCAAACATGTGATGTACATAAACCTGGTATCTTGAAACTTTTTACTATATTCCGATGAATCGCAATGCTCCGCTGAAAATTATCGAGAAGGCACTTGTAACAATGAAAGGTTCTAGATGAATATTCATACAAGAAGGGAATACGATGGCAATACAAACCCTAAATTGAATAGAGTTATCCCGGCAGTTAGCCCAAGCCCAATTCAGCCCGGGCTTCGATAAAAGAGAAATGGTCTTGGGTTAAGCCAAACTACTTAAAAGTTACTTTGACCAAGCCCATAAACTGAAAAATGTTGGGCAAGTACTAGTTCCAATCCCAAGTTGGGTGTGCTGTATAACTTTGTATGAAAGAAAATATACTATTATTTTTTTGATAGTCAGTTAAAGTTATACCTTTTCATTTCCACTTCTAGCTAGTAAACAACTTTATTCACTCAAAATCTTATTCTCCATACTTTAACAAAAAATAAATAATTTTCCACTACATTGTGTTACTTACATCATCACATTTTTACCAATTCTTTAATAAATTTCCTGTAATAGTCCTTATTTATATTTTACCTACCAATTTAATATTAACATACTATTATTTTGAAATTTCGGTATCCAAGAAAACTTATGTAATTTTTCCGGACAGAGAGAGTAATATTTAACTAGATTAGACAAA